GAGGCAGGTAGGGCTAATTCCTAACGATAAAGGAGAAGAAGAAGAAGAAGAAGAAGAAGAAGAAGCATTACCAAGCACCGCGACCAAGGGTGTATGGGCTTCTCTTACCCCGCTTGGCCGCCGGGTGACTGACGTGTATACTCGGGGGCCCGCAGCCGCACCTGGATATGGCGGGGTAGTTGGTGTTGTGCGGTAACAATGGCCACTTTATGGTTGCTTGGGGCCGTACTCCACGGACTTCCACGTGCTGCAGAGCCCGGCCGGCGCGTGAGCCCTTGCGCTGATTGTGCTTCAGGAAAATGGTGGTTGTGGTGATGATGGTTGCGGTGGAGCATAATGATCAGGATTCCCCCTCGTGGGGGCGGTGCATTAAAAAGTTGTGAAAGCCATCATATCACACATACACGCATACATGCACACACACACACATGTAACGAGCGCACGACCTGTCTACCCGTCCAATCTCCCGGCTGAGTCAGCAGCCAGCCAGACGCGTCCTGTGGTTATTAGCACCTAGCAGCACCACCGTTTGCCCTACCAGCTGCCTGTCATGCCCAACGTATTAGCCCCTAAGACTCAGCCAGTTGCCCAATAACCCAAGCAGCAGTTGCAGCAGCAGCAGTAGCAGCAGCAGCAGTAGCAGCAGCAGCAGTAGCAGCAGCAGTAGCAGCAGCAGCAGTTGCAGCAGCAGCAGTAGCAGCAGCAGCAGTAGCAGCAGCAGCAGTAGCAGCAGTTGCAGCAGCAGCAGTAGCAGCAGTTGCAGCAGCAGCAGTAGCAGTAGCAGCAGTTGCAGCAGCAGCAGTAGCAGCAGCAGCAGTTGCAGCAGCAGCAGTTGCAGCAGCAGCAGTAGCAGCAGCAGCAGTTGCAGCAGCAGCAGTAGCAGCAGCAGCAATAGCAGTAGCAGCAATAGCAGTAGCGGTAGATGGATGATGTGCAAAGATGGCAGGGTGTCAGAACCTTACACTTCGGTTTGACAGTTAATGGACTGTGTGTGGGTAGGCAGCTAGGTGGCTATATGGGTTAAGACATTGGCTGAATGGCATCCCTAATCCGCAACTGCTTTATTAGCAACCTAACTACCAACCCACCCACCCAGCAAACTAGCGAACCAGAAGTACGCGGCAGAAGCCGGCAAAAATCCATGCTATTGAACTCCTGCTGCTGCTACTGCTACTGCTGCTGTTACTGCTACCCCACGCACTATTCGCAGACTTGGAACAGTCCCGGGCTGAAACCTTTGTGGGTCGCAAGGCCTGATCCCCCGTTTCACTGTGTTGGCTTTTGTTTCTATGTCCTATGTAGATAAGCATCGCCCCAGAGACGTCGTTGTCATCGATGGTACGTAGGTTACATGGTTCCGATTGTGCACACGTGCGTGCGTACGTACATATGTGCACATGCACGTATGTATATATGTAATATGTATATATGTAACACACCTCAACAGTAAGTACAAAACCCAAAGAACATACACACATACACACAGACCAGTAATGGAGTTGGCCGCCGTTGATCCGGCAGATTTCGTTGGATGCTGGTGGTGGGTGCGGAACCTGAGCGATCCACTGAGAAGTTGACTAGGGTGACTGGATGAGGGTGCCCCGAAATACCGGGGAAGGCGGGGTTTCGCCGGGTAGCGGCCGCAGGGTGAAGATATGGCCTCCCTGTCCCACACATTATCAAACACACATACATAGGACCCCGCCGAAAGTGGTTTTGTTCCAAGCTCCCCAAGACATGGCCCCACTCAGTTGTAGCAACCTCGTTCACCCCACTCACCCCACTCCCCCCAAAACACACAAAGCATCCATCCTTCCCCACACGCACACCCGTGCCATACATTCACACTCACACATTCAGGCCCACACACATCCAACCCATCAGCACTTCAGCCTCTGAAAAGACAAGTAAAACGGAACAAAGTCCTGGGGGATGAGAGGAGGTGTCGGAGGAAAAAGGCGGCCTGTTGGACGCTCCAAACCATCAACATAGCATTATACATCCATTACGGCAAACAGACAGACAGACAGACAAGCAAACAGACAAATAGACAGACAAGCAAACAGACAAACAGACAAACAAGCAGACAGACAAGCAGACAGACAAGCAAACACCCATCCATTCATCAATCCAGACGAGCAAACAGACAGACAAACAGGTATGCAGGTATGCAGCTAGTCAATCATCGACCCAATCCAAACGCCCTCAAGCCACCGAAGCGCCCGCAGCCGCAATCTCCCGTCTCGACCCTTCCTCCCGCTGCCGCCCCTCCTTCTCCTCCGCCTCGGCCTTCCGTACCCAGTACGGCACCGGGTACGCGTCGTTGAGCCACTCGATGCCGTACGGCCACCTGCACGAGGAGATTGATAAGTCAGTCATCACGCGTAGTAGGGGCGCGAACCGATATCCCGTCTTTGGATTGCAAGGGGCCGTGGGGAGGTGAAGGGGGGGATGGTGATTGAGCACATACAGGAAAGTACAGACGTGCATACACACACATACATACATACATAAATCGCACCCCTTCCCCCCCCACCCCTTCCCTCTTCCCCCCGGCTCTCCCCCCCTCCGGCCGCGCTCACTTGTTGTTCTCTCCGTCCGTGTAAATCGTCATGCTCAGCTTCGGTCGCTCCTCCTCGCTCAGGGTGCGAGGTGGGTGTTGGTCGAATATGTCTCGCAGCTCGGGACCCAACAGCTCTTTCTGGTCCGCAAGAGCCTGAGGGCGGAGCCCCGGGCGGGGGGGTGTAGGAAGGAGGGAGGGACAGAAGGAAGGGAAAACGGCTAGGGAAAGGGGAGGAGAGGGTGGAAGGGGGTGGAAGGGCGTGTGCTCCTACATCATGCAAAAGGGCCCCGAGTGGAAATGCAGTGGAGGTGATTAAGGAAGGAGCTGAGAGCTGAGACAGTGTATGTGTATCTGTCTGTCTGTCCGTCTTGTCTGTCTGCATGCCAGGTACGTCTCTCCCCTTGCCAACACACCCCCTTCCCCCCCCCCCCAGAAACACACGTCCTAGGTGCCCCACCTTGATTCCTGCCCACATGGCCTCCCTGCGCTCCTCCAGTATGGCGAGCACATCCTCCGAGCAGCTCTTGATCACCCGCCGCACCTCGTCAGTGTACCTGGGGGGCGAGGGGGTGAGGGGGCGAGGGGGTGAGGGGGTGAGGGGGCGAGGGGGCGAGGGGGTGAGGGGGTGACGGAGGGTTTGTGTGGGAGGGGGTTTTAGGGGGATCATATCACCGATGCGATGATCTGAGAGACGATCATGATCTGATGAGCGAAAAGAGGAAAGTAGAAGAGAGTAGAAAACATAAACATAAACATGGTGGATGATGATCTCTCTTATGGATCTACACATGACTTTAAAAAACACAACATGAACATGGGACATCTATTCACTTCCTTCGGAATGAATGAAGGAGCGCGGAAGGTGGGGAACATGGCAGGGTGCGTGTGTGTAAGTATGTAACTATGTAACTATGAAAGTTCGAAATTATTTACGTATGCAAGTATGTATGTATGTATGTATGTATGTATGTATGTATGATGTGTGGGACAGGGGGGTCATAACTTCACCCTGTGGCCGCTACCGCTACCCTGCGAAACCCTGCCTTCCCCGGTATTTCGGGGCACGCTCATCCAGTCACCCTAGTCAACTTCTCAGTGGATCGCTCAGGTTCCGCACCCACCACCGGCATCCAATGGAATCTGCCGGATCAACGGCGGCTCAACTCCATTCCTGGTCAGCTCACAAGATCACTTTATCCCAGGCCACCACCGTTCATCGCCTAGGGGCACTTTTACCTTCCACCATCGGAAGGATTTCGACCCTGACAGGTCTCGATCCCGGGATCTCCCGGGGGCATGTCCCTAACCGGATAACGCCCCTCCATCACATACCACCGCGCCGCATACCCCCATCCCCGCTGCCTTCCTGCCACGAAACACACAGTACGGTGTGCCGTACGTATACCTGTGCCAGGTGACGTCGGATGGCGACGGCGCATCGAACCTGAAGTCCTCACTGACTGTGGGCCAGTCCGCGAACCCGTCCATGGCGTCAGTGGACACAACCTGCCAAAACAATGACCACCCGCCGCCCGCAAGAGAGAAAAAGGAGGAAGGGGGAAATCATGCTGTGCACGGAAACAAGGAATGAGCTGCCGGAGGAAGGGGGGAG